TCATAAGGAAGTTATCTTTCCATGCTACAGAAAGGGTCGTATATCATGCTGACAGGCAGGCTGACGGTGCTCATTGGACCGTGCTACCTCATTCGAGAGGCCTTGAAGGTCTGGCAGGAACTCCTTAGCCTCAGCATTGAGGTTGTGTATCGCGGCTGCTTGAGTACCTGCCTGCTGAGGAGCCTTCACTGCTACTGATGGAGTACTCCGGTGTCTTGGTTATTTGGGGTAGGTTGTCCACTTCCTAGGGAGGAGTCTCGTGGTTCGAGTCATACGATATCAGCTGTATGGGTAGTTTGTAGACCCGGTGGTTGAAGTTCTCCTCCTTGTCCCTGTTGTATGGAGTTCTGGCCATCCACATAAGCCCTGACACGCTCATATGAGTTCTCCTTCTCCATCAGTCCAGTATTGAAATTGAGTGAAGCATGGTTAGCTTCCGCCTGTAAAGCTTCAGCCCATGCTACCTTTCTCTTTGTCTCCCATTCGTACTTCAAATAGTCAAGTCTGGCCTGAACTTTGGCCATTTCCTCCCTTTGTCTGGCCTGAACTCTGGCCATTTCTTCTTTCTGCAATTGCTCTTCCTTTGCCATGCTCAAGGTTGCCTTGGCTGCCACAGCTTCAACTCGTGCCTTTGCAGCTTCGGTGGCTAGACTTCCTGCCATCAAGGTCCGAGACCTCTGGCTACAACGAGAAGATGCTTTTGAAGAATGGTAGGAATCTGGGTGGAAGCTTGCTGTGAGACGCTGCTACCCGTCTGAGAACGGGATGACTTGTAAAGGGGGCCCATGTGTGAATGATGGGATAGCATATGTGAACGATGGGTTGCTATGGACTCGGCCTTCTTGTTTGTCATGTTTTTGGAAGAATGAGCGGCAGATGTGTGTGAGCATTGGGGTGAGGAGGCTTTCTCAGAAGAGTGAGCAGCAGTCTCATGTGGCCTCTGGAGTGGTGCATGCGAATGATGGGATACCTTGCATTTGGCCTTCTCACTCATTTCCACCTGAAGATCAGCATGAGGCTGAAGATCGGCATGGGGGAAGTCTTTCCTGTTTGAAAGGAAGTTCTTGTACTGTTTCTATAACTTTTGGATGTGTTGTATGTCCTTTTTGCGCTCTGGATCTTCTAACTTCGATTGGATGTGGATGAGTTGGCATTCACAATCTTTCCATTGTCGGTACAGCAAATCCATATTATTATCCATAGAGTGGATGCACCTGGGGAAGAGCCCTTCTCTGGGTGTATCATGTAGAAGTATCAATTTCTCCCAGGATTTGGTATGGTTTCAATATTACTTATCCCATTCATCCTCCAGATTCGCTCACATGGCATCGATGAGCTTTCTATGCTGCCTCAGATCACAAGTTTTCTGAGGTGCTGCTGCCTCCTTTGAAATGTGGACATCAAAATTGGGGTTTGTATCGAGGTTAGGTGGGGGGAGGATCGGCATTCCTGGTGAATCAGATGTTTCCGCCATGATTGGACAAGACTCCATGACATCAGATTCTTCATTCATGTCAAGATTAGGTGGGAGGAACAGTTCTGCTGACACATTGGATGCCTCAGCCATGACTGAGAAGACTCAGGGGATTTTCTGGATACTTTAGGACCACTAGAGTGTGTTGCAAATTTTAAGTGATGTTGTTGTAGTTTGCTTTTTGACCACTAGGATGCATTGCAAACTTTTGGAGACGTCATTGCAGCTTGTGTTTTGACCACTGTGGTACATTGCAAACTTTTGGAGACGTCATTGTAGTTCGCTTTTGACCACTGGGGTGCATTGCAAACTTTAGGACACATCGTTGCAATTCGCTTTTTGACCACTGGGGTGCATTGCAAACTTTCATTGCAGTTCGCTTTTTGACCACTGGGATGCCTTGCAAACTTTAGGAGACAGCGTTGCAGTTTGCTTTTTGACCACTGGGGTGCGTTGCAAACTTTTGGAGACATAGTTGTAGTTTGCTTTTTGACACTGGGGTGCATTGCAAACTTTCATTGCAGTTTGCTTTTTGACCACTAGATTGTATTGCTTGCGTGCAGTGTGGTTGATGCAGTACACCTTTGGCCACTAGGGTGTGTTGCTTGCGTGCTTTAACTCTGGTTTGTAGTTTGCAGATGAGCCACCAGAGAGCGCTGCAAGCCAACTAATGCTTGGACTAAACAGGTTGTTAGCTTCCCCTTTTCTAGGATTTTGTCACGTGTTTGCGTCTGTTTCTGATTCCTAAGGAAATTCCCGAGATTGGAATACAGTTTGGACTATGAATACTATGCAAAAACTCTGTAAGGGAGTGCTTTTTCAATTATTTTTTCAAACAAGAGTTAAAAGCAGCTTTCTTGACTTTCATTAGCTAGCTTTCTACTTGAGCTCTCTGTTACAAAACACAGGCCTTTGCAACTTACTTTTCAAATGCCGATTGAGCTGGCTAGGCTGGAAGAGCAGCTTGTATCATGCAAATTCTATCTCCATGGAAACCACTCGTAGCCATGAGAGTCGACTTGCTTTGTGCAAAAAATAAGGCTTTTTTAACTGCCTAGGTAAGTTTCTCAGAAAACAGACACACAAAATCTTTGCAAAGGAGATTCAAACATGCAGTTCCTGGGGTCCCTTTTTGGCACGGCAATCTTCTTTGATTTTAATTTTTTAAGTGTTCAGAATCTTCAAATCATTTCAAAGTCAAGAGCATCTTTCCATCTTTTTAGTAAAGTGCATGTCAAGCATGCCTCCTTCAAAACCCAAGAAAGGAAACCCCTAACTCCATATTTGTAGAGAAGAGGTACTTTTATTGAGATTGAAATGATAGCAATGAAAGAAAAGCAAGATCTGAAGCAAAAGGCACGAAAGTTACATATTGAAAGTATCCCCAAATCCCTCCCCCAAGGATCCAGGGTAAATGTCAAATTCCCAAACCAATTGGTATAATGTGGGCCGCATCTTCAGATGTTTTCACCCATCTGGTATTCCAGGACGGTTGACCTTGACCGGGTATAAAAAGTCCATACACTTGCGCAGTAGCTCATGGGAGCAATCCTCCCTTTTTGTTCACACAGGACATCTCTCTCCAGCTCACATTCCCCCACCCAAATACCAGTCTTTCCCCCCGCCCCGTTACTATGGCAGCCGATAGCAAGCAAGCAACATAGAGGCTGACTGTGCAATTCTGTCTACATTTATGATGGTAAGAATTATACATAGCATATCATTTATGTAATCAAGTAACATACATATTTCTATATCAAATTTTGTAAAGAATTATGTAAAATCAATCTCATATGACCAGTATATGAGAGTTTGTCATAGTTAAAGTATCAGGCTAGAAACCAGGAGACCATGAATTGTAGTCCTGCTTTTGGCACAAAGCCTGCTGGGTGATTGTGAGCCTCTCTCTCTCTCTCTCTCAGCCCTAGGAAGTAGGCAATGGTAAACCATTTCTGAAAAATCTTGCCAAGAAAATTGCAGGGTCTTGTCCAGGCATTATTCAAGAATCAGATAAGATTGAATGAAAGGGAAAGAAATAGTAAATAAAAAGTAATTCAGGTGTCATTCTTAGACAACCGAAGGGACTTCAGTACTAATTTCCACTTACGGTCTTCTTAGTAGAGTATTTAGATTATTGTTCAATTTCATCTTCGTGTCAGGTTTCCGATGGATACCCTAATTAATTCATGAGACTCGAGCCAAGTTTCAAAAGACATCCAGTTATTTATTATGAGTAACACTTCGGCAAATACCAAAGTGGAGTCAGCTCTGCCCCATGTAATTTATGTCCCAACTATGACCCTGTTTCCCCCCTCCTCCCAGGATGTGTCATAAATCACATTCTCCAACGGAGCACTTTCACAGGCTGTAGAGAACATGCCTCTCTGGCTGGGTCTGGTAACCTAGGCTGCAGCCTTGAGAAAGGTATGCGTGGAATGTGCTTCTGTTTGCTGCCATGTTGCTCCGTCAGTTTTCTCCCCTCCTGCCTATGCAACTCAAGAGCAGGCCAGGAATGCTTTACGAGTTGACACTTTGACAGTTTTTTATTTCCTGAAACAACATTCCAATCATAAACTTGGCATCAAACATATCTATCAATGCATATTTTTTTCCTATTTAGAGAAATAATTTAGTCCAACTCGGTTCTGCTATAAAATAATTTAAAGAGATAAAATTATACTCACAATATCTAGAATATATATGCAAATTTTCTGTCATTTTTTGAGGGTCTGCCTCTGCAATAATTAGACACTGAATTTATGATATTAACATTTCTTATTTTATGGCACCAGAGTCAAAGTTAGGTAAGATATGCAGATTTCTTGCAATCATATTAGGTATTAATTTATTCTTCCCAGAATCATTGGCCTCTTGACCAAATATTTTTTCTTAGAGAGTATCCATATTTCATTAACTAATTCTGTCCCCCAAATTAAATTATGCAAGAATTCCTTTCTCTGTCAAAAATCACTTCCCTGAAATTATTTTGAAAATTTAGTGAAATAAATTTTTTGAAATAAGTTATGAAAATAAATTGCATAATAAGTCAATTACTGATAAGCATTTGTCATTATAGAGTTGATTATTCTGAACTATGAAGTAAATTCTCCAGAGTCACTGTTATCAAACAATAAATTATTGGTTTATTATTACTTTACAGAGCTTCTAGGACGGTTCAGTCAGAATCAATCCTGAGCCAGGTACAATTCCCACTACTGTAATTCAGATTAAGAAGGATAAAAAAAAAATATGTAACTCCATAAAATCACAAGTATGGACAATCAACTAATCTAAACACTATCCCTTTGAAATGGGATCAATCATACCACTTCAGCCTCAGGCCCTTTCAGTATAGACTTTCTAAATGCCAAAAGTGAAGTTAAATGCTCTTCAAGGATGACTATCCTTGATGTAAAGTGTTTTTCACTAACCCAAATGAGAGGAGACAAAGGCATCAAGCACTTTCAAATAATTAATCATATGAAAGCTGAAGTTTTTATCATAGTTCTTTTTTTCCTTTCAAAAGGTATGTTTGTACCAACTCAGAGAACTGAAGGCATCTCAACTTCAGATATTATCACTAGAATTGTACGTGATTATGATGTCTATGCCCGTCGCAACTTACAAAGAGGATATACTGCTAAAGAGCTGAATGTCAGCTTTATAAATGTAAGTGCATTAATCATTCCAGTTACACTGTACTTGAAAAAATGTGGAATTGATTATGCAATGATTGTGGCATGGCTAGGAAGACAGTGAAGTTTGTTTTGCTGCATTTCTCTAAGCATATTTTAAAACTTAAATTAACATAATCTCTTTACCATAATTAATTAAATTTGAGATATTAAATTTTTTAAAAATTCTTTAATACTCAAAGATGTTTATGTAAATATTTAATATAATGTTACTCATATGAACTTCAGTATATAGTGACCAAATTTCTTCATCTCTCATGTTACCTTAATTTTTTTATTAGGAGAAGAAATATCGTTTTCAAAATCAAGTAGACAAGATGAAAGAAAAAGTGAAGAATGTGGAAGAAAGATCTAAAGAATTTGTGAATAGAGTTGAAGAAAAAAGCCATGATCTCATTCAGAAATGGGAAGAAAAGTCTAGGGAGTTTATTGGCAACTTCTTAGAACTATTTGGACCAGATGGAGCTTGGGTATTTATTAATTTTTTTCCACACATTCATATAGTTTATACGTTATTGATGATGTATACACCCCCAAATATCTTGAAGAAATCAAGTATGCTTTATCTACTCAAAGCAATATAACAAAAATACAACAACATTCAACATTCAAAATCAGGTTGAACAAACTCTCTTAAACTGTCAGGGATTAAATCTCAGGCCATTCTCATGCAAGATATATTATTAAGTAGTAATGTAAGATTTCTTACCTCAGTTTGTAATGAAAAGCATGATACATGCTATAAAAAAGCACTCTATTATATACAGTAGTAATCAGTAATATTGATTTTAATGGATATATATGCATATAATGGATTTGATTTCATAATAACTGTATTGGTAAACCATCTTCAGTGAAAAAATCTTTTGGTTTTTTTCTACAATTCAGCATGGCAGTACCTACTGAAGTTAATATTTGCATGAAAGCCTTTGTAGTTAGAGGCCACATAAAATAATCAGCTTAAGGGTACAACTTGAGATAGCATTGTTCTAGAAAAATAAATGATATTGCTGTGGGGCAAATTAAGTCTATCAATATTGTTAATTTTTCTTTTCAAACATTGCTTTCAGTGCTGACATTAAATATAGAAGATTAATTCATGTCTCGATTCATACATGTGCATGTATTAATATGCTATTATAACTAGAAAAAATAATATATTTGAACTCTTATTCACTTTCAAGCAGATAGAAATAGGAATATATAACATATTAAAAATGGAGAAATCAATCCATTACAGTTTAATCTTATTTCTTTTCTTAAGGAGTAGGAAGTTCAATTGCTCTGCACAACAGTAATTGGTATTGGCGTGAAAAGATTTATAAAATATGTTTCTTGTGTATAAAATAGGCAATGCTCTATGTTGCATTATTTTGGTTGGGTTTATACTTTTTAATTTCTTTTTAAAAAGTGTGTGAACTTGCATAGGATGGATGTTGTGCTTATTCACAATTCTGGTTCATAAGTGTTTGATTAGTTTTTTACCTTTTTCATTATTTTTTATTTTAAAAAAACCACCGTTTTCCTACCTAAAAATCCTTGTTTCCCCAAGAATTTAGTAGCATCTAGAAATAATATAAGGCTAACCCCAGTTAAGCCTCATCACATTGTGATGAAGGAAATTTTTTGCTTGATGTTTTATTTTTCCCCTTCTCAGAAACACTGTAAGGCATTCAAATAATGTAGGAACAGTGCTCCAAGCTCACTTGTGACCCTTTCCTTCTCTCTGCCACTTCATTGCCAATTGAAATCCCTCCTACCTTGGTACATCATTTGGCTACATCAATTTTTTGGGGAAAGACATCTCACTCACCCATAAAAACAGACATAAAGATAAAAAGATTATTGGGCAAAAACAGAATTAAGAGAGTGAGCTGAGGATATATCTATTACTGTATCCATACATGTCCACATTTCTTTGTTTCCAGAAGCAGATGTTTCAAGAGAGGAGTGGGCGCATGCTTCAAGCCTTATCTCCAAGGCAAAGTCCCACAAGCAGTCCAACACGGGGACGTTCCCCATCACGTTCCCCATCTCCTCCTTCCCCTTGGCTCTTCAGAAAGGCTTCACCACCTTCCTCCCCAAAGGTTGCCTCAGCATCCATTAGCAGCATGAGTGAAGGTGATGAGGATGAGAAGTAAAAAAGGGAAAATTTGTAGTAAAAGAAAGAAGAAATATGCCAATGGCTCACCATACAGTTCAAACTAGAAGAAAGAAAATGATGCATGAGATGTTTCTGAAAAAGAAAGTTATTGATATTATTGGAACACTGAAGATCTCAACTATAAAGTAGTACTTGTCAAAGGACAGCCTGTCAAAAAAGTCACATATGATGACAGAATATGTAACAACTTGCCATTATTTCCCAACAGTTATGAATACTTTTTATGCTATTGCAGCTTTTGCTGCTTTAAGCTATTGCACTGTTGTGAGGATTGTTTGTTGAAAGGTTAATTTGGCAAATGATGTTAAGAAGGATTCTTTTTGGTTAGAGAAGGCACATTTAAATTTGAATAACTCTGCACTCTACTAAAAAGTTGGATCTCACAAGAATAAAATGAAGTACTGCCTAGAAACAGCAGAAGCTCCTACAGTGCCAGGAAACACTCAGATAAAATCATGCCATTAGAATTAATCTCTGTCTTTCACAGTGGACACAATATAGTTCTACTGAATTTAATTAATATTGCTTATTGAGCAGGCTTTTGTACACACCAGAGAAAGTTATTTAATGGGAAAAATTGGTGGGTTCAGTTTTATTACTATCTGTCCTCCAAAGCTATTTTTTTTCTTTTGCAATTATTATTCAGCATGATTTTATATCTGGTGAATTTGATAAATTAACTCACAGAGCATGGTTCAATTTATTCATTAATGTTTATTTCACACACTATATATCATTTAAAACAATTTTTCCATATAACATATTATTACAGGGGAAGAACCCAAGTGGATAATGCATACCATTTATTATTTCAGATAATAAACCTGGAAGAAATCAAGGGTGGCATGAGTGTTGTCCCATTTTGGTAAAATGTTTGGTAATGTGTATGTAATTCCATTGAGAATCCATATGTAATTTTTCTATAGAAGCAAAGCAATATATAACAACTGACTTTTTATTGTCAAAATATCATATTAGATTTTAGTAGTCAACTTTTTAGCAATTACAAGTGCAGCTTTGTTTTCTGCATATGGATTTAATGAAATATTTTTTTGGTTATTATATGCTGTTATATATTCTAGAACAGAGTTCCCCAACATTTCCAACTTTGCAAACCGGCAGGAGGGGGAAGGGATGGCTCCATGCAAGTGGCTGGCAAGCACACACAAGCAAGGTGCATATGCATCTGTTGCTCCTTAAACGGAGTGCGCGCGCTGACCTGCTGCTCATGCAAGTGAGGATACATGTGCACGTGTATGTGCTTGCCGGTCCACAGGTTGGGGACCCCTGCTCTAGAACAGCCTTTCCCAACTTAGTGTCTTTTAGATATGTTGGACAATTTCCCATAACCCTTAACATATCTGAGGGTGCATTGGGGAAAACATGTCTAGAAACACACATATGCAGCATATAACTAAACGTTGTAAGTAATCAGATCCTTTTTAGTAGCCTGTGTCACTGGCATCACATCTACTGTTAATATTCAAAAGCAGACATGAGAAATTTACCTTGCAAAATAACACTTAGTAAATGATTGAAACTTCAGAATACCCCTTATGCAGCCTATTCTCTTTTTTGCAAGGGAATTGGATCTCTTTAATAGCCCTATTGTGTTTTAAAATCTTCTTTAAATACTAGTTCTTACTGATCAACTAACAGTTGAAATGTCTCCCATCAGCCTTTCAATTTTTTAAATGACAATTAAGATTACCAAGTGAAAGAAATGATTTGTGGTATTATAGCAGACCTGCCTATTTTATGCCTATCAAGCTTAATAAAGCCCACTAGTTATCACTATTAAAGTGCCCTTCAAATCAAACTGATTCCCATGCTTGCATGGAAACATCTTTTTATTTTGTTGTTGTTGCAAAAATACAAAGTGGATTGCCCTCACCTTCTTCTGAAATATTTGAGTTATAGATACAGATTAACAGAGTTGGAAAGGACTTTATAGGCCATCTAGTCCAACGCATTGTAAGCCGCCCTGAGTCTCCGGAGAAGGACGGCATATAAATCAAATTAAAAAAAAAAAAAACCTCCCGTCCAGCAGACCCTACACCATTTTTGACAGATGGCAGCCCAGTCTCTTCTTGAAAGCTTCCAGTGATGAAGCTCCCACAACGTCTGAAGGCAAGCTGTTCCATTGGTTGATTGTTCTGTCAGCAAAATTTATCCTTATTTCCAGGTTGAATCTCTCCTTGTTCAGTTCCATCCATTATTCCTTGTCTGGCCTTCAGGTGCTTTGGAAAATAGCTTGATCCCCTCCTCTCTGTGGCAGCCTCTCAAATATTGGAACACTGCTGTCATGTCTCTCCTGGTCCTTCTCTTCACTAGTCTAGCCATGCCCAGTTCCTGTAACTGTTTTTCATATGTTTTAGCCTCCAGTCCCCTAATCCTGGATTAGGTGGGTAAATTGAGGACCCAGTTTGTGGGAGCAATAAGCTGACTTTGTATAAATATGCACAAGTATGAAGGCTATTGCTTAACGCATTGTAAGCCGCCCTGAGTCTCTGGAGAAGGGCGGCATATAAATCAAATTAAATAAATAAAAAAAATCCTCTGGGTTGCTCTTCTCTGCGCTCTTTCTAGAGTCTCAACTTTTTTATAGTGTGGTGACCAAAATTGGATGCAGTACTCTAGGTGTGGTCTTACTAAAGCTTTATAGAGTGGTATTAGTACCTCACTTGATCTTGATTGTATCCCTTTGTTAATGCAGGTTAGGATTGCATTGGCTTTTTTGGCTAGGGTGTTGGCTATTCCTGCCAGTTTAGTAGCATCTAATCATCCATGCACCCATGCTCCAAACACTGGCATCCTCATTGTGTGGAGGAAAGACAGACAGGATGTAAGGGGGACCAAGACCATGCCGAGTGCTGACTGTTGGACTGACCATAGATTTATCATCTCCAAATTAAGATTTCACATCAAGCCAAAGAGTTGTCAGCATGGAAACAAAGCTGTGATGAAACGGATCAACGTCAGTAAACTGAGGAACCCCAACACAGCAGCTTCACTAGCAGACCATCTTGACAACCAACTCTCAGTGCTGCAATTAGAGGGAAATGCTGAGAAGGATTGGGAATGCTTTCGGGATATTGTGCACTCTTCTGCACTAAAGGTTCTTGGACCCTCACACAGGAAACAGCAGGACTGGTTTGATGAAAACAATGAAGAGATCAAGGCCCTACTTGCTGAAAAGCACCACCTTCATCATGCTTATCAGAATGACCCATCGTCAACAGCTAAGAAAAATGCCTTCAACAACACTCGCAGGACCGTACAGAGCAAGCTTTGCAAGATGCAGAACTCCTGGTTGAGTACCAAAGCAGATGTAATTCAGAAGTTTGCTCATAGAAACGATGCTAGACAGTTCTACGAAGCCCTCAGATCCTTGTACAGACCTCAGCCCTCAGGGAGCTCCCCCTACTGGACTCAGATGGTGCAACTCTCACCATTGAGAAGACTCTGATTATACAGTGATGGGATGAGCACTTCCAATCCATACTGAACCACCCATCTTCCATCAACAACGAGGTGATCGACACAATGCCCCAGGTGAATATCAACCACAGCCTGGATGCCCCACCATCAAAGACTGAAACCCTACAGGCATCAGCCAGCTGTCCAGTGGCAAGGCCCCAGGATCTGATGCGATCCCAGTGGAGGTCTATAAGGATGGTGGTGCAGTGCTTGTCAACACTCAGCTGTTCCAGTCTTTCTGGAATCAAGGATCCATTCTTCAGGAACTGAAAGATGCATCCATTGTACACCTCTACAACAGGAAAAGGAATTGACAAGTCTGCAATAAACATAGAGGAATATCACTGCTTTCCATCACAGCCAAGATCATTCCATGAGTGTTGCTGAACCGCCTGACTGACTACCTGAAACAGGATTTATTTCCTGAGACACAGTGTGGTTACCGCAAAGAACATGGCACTGTGGACATGATCTTCGCAGCCTGACAACTCCAAGAGAAGTGTCAAGAGAAGAATCGTGAATTGTATACCATCTTCATGGATCTCACCAAGGCTTTTAACACTGTCAGTCACGAAGGTCTGTCGCACCTCATGTCGAAGTTTGAGTGCTTTGATAGATTTATCTTGATGGTATGTCAGTTCCATGACAGTATGATATCTCGTGTTTTGGTTATGACGGAGAAGCTTCAGAGGCCTTTCCTATTACAAACGGTGTCAAGCAAGGGTGCGTGTTGGCACTGGCCTTGTTCACCATAATGTTTTCAGCCATGCTGTCTTTATACCTTCCAGAACAGTTCCTTGGGAGTTAGCCTGAGATACAGGACTGATGGGAAACTGTTCAACCTGCGAAGTCTCCAGGCTGTCACCAAGATAAAGGAGACTGTGCTACATGACCTCCTCTTTGCTGATGACTGCCCTGAAGGCTGGATCAGAGTAGGAAATGCAAGCCAGTGTGGACAAATTCGCAGCAGCATGCGACAACTTTGGCCTCCTCATCAACATAAAGAAAACCAAAGTGATGCATCAGCCAGCTCTGAAAGCCCAACACCAAGAGCCCACCATCACAGTGAAGGGACAAAAGCTGCTAGCAGTAGACCAATTTACATACCTTGACAGCACCCTCTCCCATGCAGTGATAATTGACATTGAGGTCAACTGAAGAATTGCCAAGGCAAGCTCTGCATTTGGCAGACTACTGACCAATGTGTGGGACCACGCGTGGAAGCTTGCTACAAAGCTCAAAGTCTACTGAGCAGTAGTGCCAACTATCCTGATGTATGCCATTGACCTGGACTGTATACAGGAGGCACACTAAGCAATTGAAACATTTCCACACAACCTGCCTCCATAGAATTCTGAGAATCCAGTGTCAGGACAAGGTATCAGATACAGAAATCCTCTCCAGAGCTGGTCCTTGGAAGCTCCATTTCAGCCTGCAATGGGCTGGGAGGCTTCTGGAAGCCCGAACAGGGCTTCTGAGGGGTGGATCAGCCTGTCAGAAGCTCCATTTCGGCTGACAACATGCAGGACGAATGTTGCAGAGCCTCTGAGGTTGTTTGTAAGGGTGAACAATTGCTGAGGTGCTGCAAGATTCATAGTTTTGGGCCTTGTTTGCAAACGCTAGGGGGTGCTTATTGCATAAATTTGAACGTTCACTAAGGGAAAGCTCGTAACCCAGGGATTACCTGCACATGATGATCCATCAGATTCATAAGATATTTGTAACAAAATATACCGTAGTTCAGTTGTTGGATTATTTTTTAACTTAATATGGCATGACAATTGTCCCAATATTTCTGTAGGAGTCTTTTCCAATTTTTTTTCATTAAAAAATCAATGCAACAAATTAAACTTGAGCAATGAAAGCCATCAACCACTTATGAAAAGTACATTCATTATCACATCCTTTTTACAAGTAAAAGACAGATGGTTTGGAATGCTAACAAGATAATGAAGTTTAATAACCTATACTGAGTTCTTATTCTTATTCACCAAATATTTAATGGAGAGTTTTTCTTATACTTCAGCATACAAGTTAATATAAAGATTTTTACAAGCATTTTGTTTCTAAGAATGTTTATTGTCCTTAAACTTGTAAGTCAAGGACTTCGTTTTAAGAGACATTTCAGCAATTAGAAATTGGAATGTATGATTGTTAAGTCAAGTGCTGACAAATTCTATTTATGTTGCATTTGATACAAATGCAATTTGATACTTACAACCTATTCATCCTTACTTAGATTATTTATGCTGAGTTGACTTTCCTGATTTGAGTTACTGAACGGCCTCAGGTGTGCATAATAATATTGATAGTACAACCAACAAAAAGTATATTTTTAAAAATATTCGTACTGTATATGTGGAAAAACAATGGCAAAAATGTACAAGATGATCAGACTAATCAGGCATTTTGTGAGTCAAATAGATGCAAATCACTGTAAATTTTACTCCAAAAGTTCATGAACAGAAATAAAAGTAAGGATTTTAGACTTTTTGTAGCAGAAAAACTGGCAAAATAAGGTGCAATAAGATCATCTACATTATTTTTTATGCTGTTCAGGATACAAAGTACACATATCATAAAAGCAAATAGGAAATTGATTCCAACTGATTTGCATATACTTTTACCTACCTTGTCTAAAATTTGAAACACAGGAATTCATTCAAAATGAATATTAACTAGATTAATACCCATTTTAATATGAATCTTCCCTAAAGCAATACATTAAAAAGTTCAAATTGCAAGGTCCTGCTCATGAATGCAGACTCCATTCAGTTCCAAAACTCTTTTTCTGAAATCAGTGGCCTGTCACTCATGCAGATACCCTTTCATGAAAAACACTGAAGCATTAGACGAACCCATGTGAGGAAGTCCAAATGGTGGCATACAAAGGCAGGAATGCTTGGGTTTGTTATGTATCACTATGGGAGATGTTAAATTTATGCTGAATGTAACTTCTCCAAGCAATCATGACTGTAAGGGGCATAAGCTTGGGACCAGGAAAATTAATCCTTTGTTTTTGCAATTTGAATGTCATGCAAAGGAGAAAGTGCTTGGGGAAAGTTGTCTTGATACACCGCACATATATTTTAAAAATAAGCATAGGTTATCCTTAAAACGCTTATTGATCACAAACTTGAAGTAGACACCTACCATTCGAACCATCATTAAAAAGACACAACAAAGAATGTTCTTTCTTCGTCAACTCAGGAAGTTCAGACTGCCCCAGGAGCTATTGATATGGTTTTATAAAAGAATTGTGTCTATCATTTGTACTTCTATAACTGTCTAGTTTGGTACAGCAATCAAACAGGACAGGTAGACTTCCAATGGATAGTTAACACTGCAGAAAGAACAATTACAACCAGTCTGCCTTCCATAGAAGACTTGTATATTGTACAGGTCTGAGGGCTGAGAAAATATCTAGATCCGTCACATCCTGGCCATAAACTGTTTCAACTCCTCCCCTTGGAATAGTGCTATAGGGCATCACATGCCAAACAACTAAACACTGAGTTTTTTCCTCTGTGCCATCACTCTGTGGAACACCTAATTCTTACAGTGCTGTCTAATGTCTATGTATGTTTATCCATGTAGTGTGGTTGTAGTATTATTTATTATTTTCTTTACTCCACCCTTTTATTGGTATGATGAGGATGAGGATTCTGTTGCTTTACATGTACACTAAGTGCTTCTGTACTGGAGACAAATTCCTTGTGTGTCAAATCACTCTTGAATTAAATCAATTTAATTCAAATCAATTCAAACTAAAAAATTTGAGGATATTACTTCTTGCCAAAACCACTTAAGCATCCCAGAACATATTATCCTCCAAAATTTATTATCTTCCATGTAGTTCAAGTCTTATCTACAATACAGTATCTTGTAAAATTTTTAATTACCTGAGTTGTACAAAAAACCAAAAACATTGTTTAATCCTTCTTCTACCACCTTTAACCACTATTATCTAGAAATATTTAAAATACTAAATTATTTTTTATTCTATTTTTATTGTTTTTGGAACACAAATGTAAAAAAGGCAGATATTGATTTCAACAACTCACCTATTCTACATTTCATGTATTTAATATGATAATGATGTTATCCATTCAGTCATGTATAGGATATGAGATTTACAAGCTCAGGAATGTGCTCTGATTGAGAAGTGCAAAATCAGACATGTATTTTTTTTTTTGTAAGAATTGACATTCTTTCTCACATAATCCCCCCAAAACACACCTGCTCACACATAAGGCTCTATCCAAAGCATCAGTGTGGAATTCTAACTATTGGCAAATATTCTATACATCTTTCCTTTTTATAGTAATCTATGTCCTGGGACTGGTTTGCAAGAAAGGAACTGTACCAATATAGGAATGAATGAAAAAATTTTTTTTGTTTTTTTTAAAATTTGATTTATATGCCGCCCTTCTCCGGAGACTCAGGGCAGTTTACAATGTGCTCAGCAACAGCCTTCATCCTTTTGTATATTTATACAAAGTCAGCTTATTGCCCTCACAACTGGGTCCTCAATTTACCTACCTTAGAAAGGATGGAAGGCTGAGTCAACTTTGAGCCTTGGCGAGATTCGAACCTGCAGTAACTGCAGGCAGCTGGTCTTAATAACCAGCTTAATAACAGGGTGCCTTAGACCACTGTACTACCAAGGCTCTTTTTTGTTTTCCTTTGTTAGGCCTTGTTTTTGCAAAAATAAAATGCTGCTAAGGATTCTTGTGCCAGAATGGAGCACATAATGCAAAAAAGGGAACATTTCTTAAATGGGAACAGAACTCTGGGGAAAATGAGCAGCGAAAGGCCACATGCAGTTAAGGATAGGGAGAAGCCCTCAAGCCTTCTGGGAAGGGCAGCTGAGCTGTGCATGAGATGGGAAACTCAATCTCTCTCCCAGTTACATGACCCAGAGTGTATGCAGTGTACCCTGCCTTTCCAGAGCAACAGTACACACAGATGCAACATATAGAAATTACAGAAATATATACACACAGGTACAGCACACTTCAAGGGGAAAAAAAGGGAGTTAAAGTATGCATCTAGTTCAGTGAAACAGCTAGAAAGATCATCCAATGAACAATAGCTTCTGCCACAACTGTCTTGAAACATGGACAATAGATTTCCTTCCATTTATTTATTTCAAAAAATTTATATGGCTGCCCAACTCACTCTCAGTGACAGGTGGCTTATATAAGTAAAAACCCAATATAAAAATAATAACAAGCAATAATCTCTCACTCTTCTAGTGACAAAAAAATCTAAAGCAGACTAAGTAATAGGATGTTACAAATGAAACAAAAGCACACCATGGCTTCAGACTAAAAAATGCAGTCAAATTTGGGAAGTAAATTTAACTGACTAAACTCTAGCTATTTTAGGAATATATGGCTAAAATGTAGCCCCCAAAGAATCAATAATAAACAATCATTTTAGTATTTTTATTGCACAGTATGAAGGGAAGAAGGGACATATACAACATTTACAGTGAAATAACTTTATATACGGCAACTCTAGAATTCTAGAACATGTTACACAGTACTGTTTAAGTTAGTTGATTCATTCCTACAAATCTTCGGGTTACGAACGTAATTTGCAGGCTCCATTACATTGAGGACTACCTGTACTTTGAACTTGTTGACTTCTAAAGGTTGTTTCAAAAACTTTTGCGAGACTGCATTTTGAACATAACTTTCCTACAACATTCACATATCAATAGATTCAGCTGAGAGATCTATTAAGCAAAATGGCTCAAATACATTAGCAGAGTTGCCTGAAATTTTAGGATCCTCAATAGAAGCAGCATTCTAATGGAAACCATTAATCCAATTGAAATAAAAAACAAAAAATAAATTTGTATCAGTTTTTTATCTAAATTATGGAATGAAGAACTGGAATACTCAAATTTTGAAGGATCAGTGGATTCTGATGTTAAGAAATATAAACTATACTTCCTATGATTTAAAAACAAAATTAATTCACCAGAAAGTAAGTCAAGCTTTTGTACCATTCTTAACTGTTTTAAAAGGGTTAGGTATTAGATTTTTTTATGCTAATGCTATAAAAGATTTGAAGATGCCTTAATTCATATGATCTGGTTCAGCTACATCGAATTGTTTTCAAATTACTACATATGTCAATAAATTCTGAGAAACCCCCCTAAATGCTTAATATGATGTTGAAATATAATTGTAAAACATGGAATCTGTTTTGGCTTTATCAAGCCTGGGCAAGGCTAAGAGAATATTTTTATCTAAATGCAAATAAACATATCCATCTGTTTTTAAGGATTGGGTTCAGGATATGATTTCCTGTCCTTTTTAGACGTTTATGTATTCTGAAAATAAGATGAAATATACTTTCATCTGACATATTTAATATATGGACTGGATAAATTTTGTACCAATACCTGTGGATATTATATGAATCTGCTTACATTTTTGTTAAGTTTTTCCTCTTTTTTATTTTTATTTTAATCATCACAATATATTTTGGTGTTTTTTGTTTTCTTCATTTATAATCATTGCCATTTCTTCCTGCTGGCATTATTCTTATTTTTATTTCATTATTAAAAATAATTTAAAAAGCATATAAAAGGAGCTATTTCCTCTCTCATATTATACCAATGAGCTAATATTTGATTATATTCAATAAATGTGCATTAACCAGTTTTTCCTTCTCTTAGGAAAGGAAAAGGCTTTCTAACCAAATAAAGCTCTGTTCTAACAAAATAAAAATACTACTACTTAACAGTGACATATAACTTCCATTTAGGTTAATAGGATTAATGAATTTAAAAACAGACTAATTTCTGTGGAATGAGTAAAGTACACTTGATTGAGGACAATTTCAATTTCAGAGGAGAGAGCCAAGATGCAAAGAATTTTAAGATGCTGTTAAATCCTAGGTTTTCAAATTATTTTGAGAGAAGGGAGTACAGCACACTATAAGGGTGGAGACATGATGTTCTTACAGCAGCAGGATTCCAAGAAAGCTGAAACTTTCCCTTTGCATCAGCCAAGAACTGGCACTGCCGTTATTGCTACCTGTATGAAAGAAATAAAACAACTTAGTGGCTTCCACACATTGTGCTACACTAAAGGATGGTTTGGTTGGTTTTGCTTAGTGTGCTTACATGAATTAAGTCATTTTCTTCCTAATGTTAATACTAAAACCACTGCCACCTCTGGTTTTTCCCAAATGAGACTTTTACTGTACAATCCTTCAACACAAATATACGTTTTAAAGCAGGGGTGTCTAGCCAGCGGGCTGAATGCAACACGTGCTGGCCATGCCCACCCCCGGTTTAGCAAAGAGGGAAAAAGTTGCAATGTCATGTGATGATGTGACGAGTTTGACACCTGTTTTAAAGCAACTGAAATTTTTAATGTTCCATTTTATGTTTTCCCCTCAATTTTTTTTTACTTTTTTTGATACTTAAAAAAAGGAAGAGAAAAAAACTGCAAAATGCTTTTTAATTGAAAACAGTTTATCCATTAGCAAGCACTTTACATTTTTGGTGATTTCTATTCTGTATCACAAAGTACTGATTGCATTGGACATATTTTTGCCCCCCACTCTCTCCCCAATCTACCCTTGCTGAGACACTAATGTATTCTAGATGTTTTAAAAAATAAATGCCTGAATTCCGATACATTACTGTAGAGCATCTACATCTACCAGAACATTTCTCAGAAAGAAACGAGACAAAGTTTTGAGAAAGTGCATTGCAGAGAAATCACATATTCTACACTACACTTGCCTCCCTTTAGTAAAATCAGATAGAACCAAGATGTCTTTGAGAATTCAAAATTTCTCTCTTTCTCGATGGAATTCAATTTAACCTTGATTTAGTGGACTTTGAATATAATTGACTAAATTTATACCTTTCACCTCCACTTCCCCCAAAATAACATCAATTACATACAAAATACTCTAGACAGTTAAAAATTAGTTAAATTTACATTCAGTTTGTATCATTTCTGTAATGATATCCTTACTCAAAGATGCAAATCATGTCATTTGCCTCAATTTGCCATTTGCACAAATGATTCAGATCACCACAAATTATTTAATTTGCATTTTGATGGATATGCAAAATTAATTGGCATTCCCTCTCAACTGATCTGTTAAACTGACATTTCACTGTAATTTATTTATTTAAAAAATCCCACAGAATCCTTGAAAATCTTTGGAAATAAAAAAAAGAAGCAGCAGTTGAATCCTTATCCTGTTTGTTAAAACCAAGCATCTCAGTGGAGAATCATATAGATAAAAAAAGCATTCGAGAGCCATTTTAGTAGAGAATAAGTCTAGAATAAGTTTTATGAAGCTTTTCTTCCTAATGCTATTTTACTCCAATACTACTTTTCATATATAATAATAGAGACATAGAGCTGAATTTAATTTCTAATTTGGCTTCAAGTTACTTCTACAGATAATATCACTACAATTCTTCCAAACATTAAAATGCTGCATTTACACTTAAATCACATTTCTGTGTATAAAACCAGAATGATGAGACTTTAGCATGAAGTTGCCCATATTTTAGACCACAATTTATACAATAAGAGCACAACAGTGTAACTGAAACTACAGAAGGGAGGAATACTGAATCACCTACATATAATTTGCATCCAGGCCTTATTTTCTACCTAGTGGCCAACACCTAACAGTTAGTTGAGCGGTTTTAGCTAATCTCAGCTGACCCTGAAAAGCTCGATAGGGTCATAGCCAATTAGTAACTGGATGGGAAAATATTTCAGGAAATCCCAAGAGTGCAGGCTAGTCTGAGGAATAAAAAAGGAATTCCAGAAGGCAATACTATATCTTTAAAAATAATTCCACATTAAAATGGCACAGTCATATCTAAAACAGAAATATACGTTTTAATCCAGTACTGTAGTTTGGGAGGCAGGGATGTCTTTAAGTTAATGTTAAGTCTTGGAAACTGTGTGAATAATCCTTACAGTTTTCTTGGCAAGATTTTTGGAAGTGGTTTACCACTGCCTTCTTCCTAGTGCCAAGAAACTGTGACTGGCCCAAGATCACCCAGTTGGCTTTGTGTCTAAAGTGGGACTAGAATTTGCAATCTCCCAGTTTCTGGCCTGATGCTTTAACTACTACACCAAACTGGCACTCAATCAAATAGTATCCATTCCAAATCTTCTGGAAGAGATTTGAATGTATCTTATAGTACTAAACCATTTTTTCATTCTTGTTCTTTCCATATGAAAAACAAAGAATTTACTACATCTGTTTTTCAGGTGCCAAGACACTTTAACCCAGTAAGATTAATAGTTCTACACACAAGATTAGGAGTTCTAAAAGTTGATATATGATAATATTCTGTTGATCACTCTATACCTTATTTTCCTTTTAATTAAATTGTAAGCTACTGGAAATATACATAGAGCTAATAGGGATATTTTTCAGAGTACAAAGGATGCTATTTCCTCAGAAAGAAGGAAATAGCATAAAATTAATAAGCATGATTAAATGCTTGTATATAATTAGAGACACAAATATGTATATCAAAAAAATATTACAAGAATTCCTACTTGATTTCTTCAAAAATTAAATTCTATTTCTAGTCATAATATCAGAAGCAGTATCATTCAAACGTGTCCTCTGTTTTACCTTTATTCTTTGTTTCCATTAAAAAAAATTCTTAAACATTTTTTAGACATTTATGTCAGGGTGCTGTTCAATATTTAATTTAACAATATTTGACATTCCTTTTATGATACTTTTGCTAATTATTTTCATTTTAATATAAATGGGTCTCAAATGACTAAAATATTAACATTAATATTGTAAATTAAATATTTGATGTTATGAAGCCAACATTTGAAATTACTCTTTTCTTTATGATCAATATAAAATACTTCAATTATAAAACATAATTGTCTTATTTATCAATAGATTTGGCCTGGTAGAAGAGGCAATTTATGCATTTACAGTGTTGAAGTTATTAACCAAAAAAGGAAAACTTTATCAAGATCATGCCTACAAAATGAAAATCTTACTATTTTCCACGAAAATGAAATCAGCATTAAATAAACTGCCTTTTCAAACTGGGAATTAGAAATAAAACATTTAAAACCCTAAGGACTTTTTGGATAACTTCAACAATTATATACTGATATAAGATCTGACAAACCTCCATAATGATGAGCATTTTTTTAGATAACAGATTATATAGTGCCATATAAAAATGCAGCAATGAGTTTTCTATGCACACATTCAAGTACACAAGAATTTTGTTCCATTATAATGCTGTGCAAGACATTACTGTCAAATAACAAGTCAAAACATTTTTTTCAATTATTACATAGGACTAGAAAGTGATCTTAAAAAATAGTACCTTTTTACTATACAATTTTATAATCTAACTGCAGTCATAGTGCAACTCTCTCTGTAATTTATGACTTAGTAATCAAGCATGTTTTGGCAAAGTAATTACAATAACTCACACCAAAAATGCATAATGCCAGTCCTTCAAAGTCCTCTGTTCTTGCTATTTCAAATTCCTGAACAGATCTTTCTAAAGAAATCTATATTTAGAGGAGTTTGGAAACTGAAACAAAGCATTGTTGAATGCAAGTGTGTATCAAGATGAAAATGTTGATGAATTATCTGTTAGCTTTATACTTGGAAGCATCCCTGGGTTCACTGCTAGGGTTACTCCAATCATCCGCTTCTGGAGTGGTTTTGTAATGTCGCCAAGCTGACTTATTAAAAACTGGTAGTCTTTCAAATGATTCACTTGATAGTGCCTAAAGAAAGAAACAGGAACAAAAACATTCCAAGTGGTTACAAGAAAATTCAATAAAGTGAGACAGATCATCATTCTAAATGAAGAAAGAGTGTACATGCTCAATACAGATTCATGGAACATGTATTTTATTTCATATTTTGTATTTTCAATCTTTATTTTACTTTTGTTTGTACTGCAGCATGTAGATTTGTATCTTCTTAGTGCAGATACATATTTAGTTACTGAAGCCTTACAATAAAATATATTCCAACTCAGATTTGGAATTTGTTTCAGTAATGAAACATTCAATTATCTTGTTAGCTGGAATTATGCTTTCTATCTCAATGTTTCCATTTAGGAAGAGCTTTATTGGAAAGAATAAACAGAGAAAAGTTTAGTAATGTTACAACTGAACTTTGTTACCAATCTGGTTCCAAAGGCCATTTTATTATCTATGAATAAAGAGTTCAAGAATATTGTTCTCAGAATGTGGAAAAATATTATCTTCAGTAAATCAGAATAACTTCTGGTACAAATGCATAGCAATAAAGCACTTGCCTTGACTCCAAAATATAATCAGCTATAAAACCTCAAAAGTTGGTAGAGTACATTCATAGTGTTCCCCTATAATAATCCATTATTACCTTCAAATAGATTACTGCATCTGTACCAACTCCTTCCATAGAATATAATTTGAGGTCACCTTGAAAATATCGAGCATAAAGACGAGAAATTGGCAGACCATACCCATATCCAGCCTAAGAAAAAAATCAGTAACAGAAGAATTAAAAAACCTGAAATGTTAATAGTGACAGAAGCAGGAATCTTCATAGAGATTCCTCTGTGTTTTTATAATTAAAACTACCTTCCACTATGAGAACAAAAAGCAATTGTTATACTATGCATCTATTCCTTTTTACATAAAAATGAAAATTACATGCATAAAATGGCAATTGCTCTTTTAACATATGTACCATAGAATCCCAGGCACATTTAAGGTATATATCAGGTCTAATAGACACTCCTTTCCTTTTATAAGTCTGTTAAATTGAGGCTTTATTATGTACGTGGAATTGACAAGTAGTGGCTTTCAAATACCTTTTTAATTCTCAGAACAGTATTAAATTATTTTCTTGTCTAAAATTCTGAATTTCACCCATGTGTTATCTTATCTATATTAACATCAATCTTATTGTCATTACAAGCAGTGTTCTCCCATACCCCTGACAATCACAAAATGGGCCACTCAGATCCTAGCTAAGATTCATGATTCAGAGACATTTTGAAACTGGGTCTCTTCTTTCTAAATAATACACCAATGATTCTTCATGTTTAACACTGTAAAAATCAGGTTTTTTTCTAGGAAAAAACACATTTATTTTATTTGTATGCCATCCAATTCCTAAAGGCAGCTAACAATCTCAACATAATATTTTTCTAAGACTTTGCTTAGTATCCTAAATTTTTTTAAAAAACCACAATTTTTCTGTCATTTTCTCCAAATCACTTGTTCTAATTATTGTTGCTGCATGTTCTCTTTTATGTTATGAATCAAGTGCCATCTAGAGATGCAAGAAAAATTATTTTACATGACTGTATTTTATTTTGAACCATTTCTACAAACTATTGTGTAATACATAAAATGAAGATTCCTCACAGCACAGACTATATTAAACTTTCAAACATATGTAGCAAAGAACAAATCTCAGCAATTTAAGTTTCAGTCCAGATTCTGTTTCCTACTGCAATTCTTTCACATGAATAACCTAATCCTCTTTCATGGCTTCTGCATTAATCATTGTGCAATGTTACATCTGCATCTATTCCAAGACTTTGCTTAGTATCCTAATTTTTTTTAAAAAATCGCAAAAATAGCTAATAGCTTTTGTATCCACAATAGAAAAGAAATGCAGAAAGGACAGGTTCCAGTGTAATTAGATTACAATTTATTATGGTCAGTAATACTGCAGCTATGCTGATATAATATTTTTCCAACATTTTTCATAGCAGCTGTAAATACAATTATATTTTAACTTCTCTTTCTAAAGTTATATCATAATTTTCTACAGGCAGCCCTCAACTTACAACCACAATGGAGCCCAAAATTTCTGATGGTAAGCAAGGCAGTTAAAGTCATTTTATGACGTTTTTGCCACAGTTATTAAGCAAATCACTGCACTTCTTAAGTGAATCATGCAGTTGTTAAGTGAATCTGGCTTCCCTCATTGTCTTTGCTTGTTGGAAGCCAGCTGAGAAGTTACGAATGGTAATCAGATGACCTTGAGACAGTACAACTGTCATAAACACATGTCAGTTGTGAAGCACCTAAATTTTGATCACATGAACATAGGGAGGCTGCAACGGTCATGTGAAAACGGCTATAAGTCGCTTTTTGCAGTACTGTTGTAACTTCGAATGGTCACTAAATGGATGGTTGTAAATTGAGGACTATCTGTATAATCTATCCTGTCTATTCATCAAAGCCATAAGTCACAAGTTCATTTTTTCATTTTCAAATGAAACCATTACAGGTTTTCAGTCACCAACAAATATACATTATTCTATATTCTATATTTCTTTTCTCTAATCAATATCAAACAGAATAGAGCTGGTAGGGAGCTTGGAGGTCTTCTAGTCCAACACCCTGTTCAAGCAGGAGACCTTATACCAGGGATGGTGAACCTATGGCACACGTGCCGAAAGTAGCACACAGAGCCATCTCTCCGGGCATGCCAACCATCATCTGTTGCTCTTCTGGGCACACGAGAGCCAGCCAGCTGGTCTTTGCACACGTGGGATGCAGGAAACCGGAATACCGGGTGACCAGTGCACATGCGCACGCCGGAAACCGGCTCAGCTTCCCGGTATGTATATGCGTGCCAGGGAACTGCTCTTCCGGTTTCCGGAGCCCCCATGTGTACATGCCGGGGAGCTGCTCTTCCAGTTTCTGGTGCTCTCGCGTGCTCGCGTGCTCCCGTTTCAGCACTCGGTGCCGAAAAGGTTCACCAACACTGCCCTATACCATTTCAGATAGGTGGTCGTCCAGTCTTTTCGTAAAAACCTCCAGTGATAAAGCACCTACAACTTCTGAAGGCAAAGCTGTTCCACTAGTTGTCTTCACTGTTAGGAAGTTACTTTAATTCCAGGTTGCTTCTCTCCTTGATTAGTTTCCATCCATTGTTTCTTGTCTTGCCTTCTGGTGCTTTGGAAAATAAATTGACCCCCTTTTCTTTGTGGCAGCCCCTCAAATCCTGGAATACTCCTATCATGTCACCCCTACTCCTTCTTTTCTCTAGATGGGCCATATACAATTCCTGCAATCGTTCTTCATATGTTTTGTCTCCAGGCCCTTAAGCATCTTAGCTGCTCCTCTCAAGATGTCTCAACATCTTTTTTGTAATGTGATGACCAAAGCTGGATGCAGTCTTCCAGGAGTAGTTTTACTAAAGCTTTATAAAGTGGTACTAATACTTCACATGATTTTGATTGTATGTCGCTGTTTATACAACCAAGGATTGTATTACCTTTTTTGGCTGCTGCCACAGACTGTTGGCTCATGTTTAAGTGATTGTCCACTAGGACTCCAAGGTCCCTCTTACAGTTATTGTTTTTGAGCCAGGTTTCACTTAATCTAGTTTACATTTTGACACATACATAGTTTGGTTCCCCTGTGGGCATAAGCAAACATATGACACACTCTGCAAGTTACTATAGTGTCAGTCTCTATTTCCATGACTTTCTTTGGTTGTTTGTTAAAAAATTAAAAATTTCTAAAAATTGAATATTTTCCCTGCTGCAAATATCAGTTTACAATAATTTACAAGAGTTCTTGGCCTTTTGTTCTCTATCTTGAAAAATTCACCACTATCTTCCCTGTTTTGAAGTGTCTGTCTCTTTTTCCATGTTTATTTTTTTCTCTTAGATTGTTAAGAATTTAAAAAATTCTAAAGAATTCAAACGTAAACTGTTTAATTTTTAATTTTAAAAAATTAAAAATTTTAAAAAAATTAAATTGAAAAATGATTTTTTATAGAAAAAGGAATTTTATTTAAAAAATTGAAATAAAAGAGATTTTTAAAATTTAAGAATTTACAAGCGTTCTTGGCCCTTTATGAAGTGTAATATGCACTTCTTTTTTGTTGGAAATCAATAAAATCAACTAAGTTAGTTTATTCATCTCAGCAAGAGCTGTCAATTTAACCAACCATTTTTCCATATTAGGTAGTGTAATATTGCAGATATGTGCTATATAAAGGTGACTGCATTTATTTCACAACTCAAGTAGAATTATGAATACTTTGTTAAAGAACTTAAAGTCCTTTAGAAACATTCAATTTGGTTTGTGCTACTAATATTACTTACTATCATAAGAGGGAGAGAAGGAAGGATAAGTTCAAAATGTATAAATATCCATGTCACTAGATAGTTTTATTATTCTGACTTCACTTTTACCTGAATGTTTACTGAATGGTACTCCATTAAGAATTTCATTCAAACAGTTCAAGGCTGTTTCTTATTTTAAATTCTGTTATTTTCCCCAATACTGAAACAAAGCCACAGAATTCATGTTCAGCACAACTGAAAATTGTGAGCATACTGTTTTCATGAAATGTATGGAAATGGCAACATGGAAAGTAATCACATTCCTGTTATACAAACATTATAAACTGATGCATGCATTTGACAACTGATAAACAAAAAATACAAAATATAAAAAAGTCAGAAAGAATTCTACAGGAATACATGAGAGTTACTGGACTAATATTGCCATGTTTCTTTTGTCACCCTTATGAAGGCTAAAACATAAGTATCTGTAGAATTGCTGGCAAACATTAGGTATTACATTTTGCAAATTTTTAAAGTATGTTTTCACTACATATCCCATATTTTGATTTTAAATTTAATAACACATTAATAACCTAAACATTAATACCCTATAATTTAGACTCTATTACAGTGTTGACAAACTCAAGGCCTGTGGGCTGGATTCGGCCCATGAGGTGGTTAGATCTGGCCCACGAGTCTGCCCTGCAAACAGCAAAGGACCGGCCTGTGGCGCCTTGGCCTGGCCCAGGCCAAACGGGCACTGAGCTGCCATTGGGGCCAGACTGCGGCCAGCCTTAGATTCTGTGCCATCGCCTTGGCCCCATCCCCTGGGTGTGCGCACAGGGCCTGGTGGGGACTGCGTGCTGAGCGCTGCACTTCACCCAGGAGGCCAGCCCTCGCATGCTCAGAACCTCCTGTGCTCATGCCCAGGGGGCGGGGCTGAGGTGGTGGCACAGATCTAAGGCTGACCACAGCCCAGTCCATATGGCCAACACTGGGTGGCAGATCAGTGCTGCACCTCCACCAGCACCTCCATGCCCCCACTCGCCGGCCTTTCAATGGGAGCTGAGGTGGGGGGCTGAGAAAAAGAAACAAGCATTGCAAAAAAAACAGCTTTTGTTAATTTGCACTTTGCTACCTACCAGCACAGAAGTTTGAGAGAGAGAGAGAGAGAGAGAGAGAGAGAGAGAGAGAGGGTGGGTGGGTGGGCAGGGGTGTGGTGTCTCACTCCTTGCAGCCCCACGCCCTCAACAAAGACCTTCTGCCGATGGTAGGCTGCAAGCTAACAAAAGCTGTTTTTTTGCAATGCTTGTTTCTCTTTCTAAACCCCCAGCTCCGGAGAAGACTGCAAAAAGCTGAAAAACATACAAGTGCACAAGTCTGGGAGAAGTGAGCTGAAAACCACACTGAAGCAACGATCCGAGAAGGGACAGGAAAGACAAAGAAAAACAAGGAGAGAGGGGAAGAGAGCAAGGAAGGGAAAACAAGGGAAGAAAGAAGAAAGAAAGGAAAATGAAGGGGGAAGCAAAAAGAAGGAAAGGAAAGGAAAGGAAAAGAAAGGAAAGGAAAGGAAAGGAAAGGAAAGGAAAGGAAAGGAAAGGAAAGGAAAGGAAAGGAAAGGAAAGGAAAGGAAAGGAAAGGAAAGGAAAGGAAAGGAAAGGAAAGGGGGGGAGGAAGGAAAGATTATAATGAGAGGGAGTCAGATTCTGAGGGAAGTCCTGCCTTAGCACTTGGCCACCAGCAGCCCTGCTGCCCTTTCGCCATCCCCTTGTCCCCTCCTCCTGATCTTTCCTGGTGGTCTCCCATCCTATTCCTGAGGATGCTTTGGTTACAAAATTGGGTCTCCTCGGAGAGGGAGTGGGCCTCCCTCTGACCCACACTTTGCCCTCCTGCATACACCATGAGCAATGTGCCCAAGGACAGCGAACACAGCAGCAGCAGCCTTGAGGAGGAGTTAAGCGCAGCCGGATACCCCCTCAGGGAAGCGGGGCTGGGCTGTGGGGTCCCAGTGCCCTGGGAGCTTGAGGGCCAGACTGGGCACCTGCCCTCCCCTGCTGTCCGGGGGTCCTTTGCGTGGCCTGAGAGGGATGGTGAGGCTCCTCTTGAGGACAAGGGTTTGGCACTCACCCTGGTCTCACCTTCCTCTGCTGGAGACAATGGATCCCCCCAGACCTGCCTGGGCCACCACAGGCACCCTTCGACATGAGTGATGTTGAGCTAGCCATGTAATGCCACCCTGGTCACACCCACCACAGCCATGCCCATCACAGCCCCCTGAGGTCAAGCACAACCCTGATGCAGCCCTCAATGAAATCGACTTTGACACCCCCGCTCTATTATGTATGTATTATTATGACATCTCAAGTGAAGAGTCTGCGTTCATATTACAAACTCTTATTCCCTTAATGTGCTTTATGTTGAAAAACAATCTGGGGAACATTTTAGCTTGCAGAAAAGAACTTACCAAAGGTACAGCTCTTGATGGCTCCAAATTAGGCCTGGGAGCAGTTGAATACATATAATTAAAAAGGCGATCTATTTTTCTCAGAGGTACACCACCACCTTTATCACTTATCTATAAAATAAAACCAGAAATTGATATAACACAATGTCCTTCAAGGAACTAAAAGAATATACCATATCTGTCTACAATTTCCAATGGTTAAATTTATAGATCTAGTGTAGAGAGATTGAGACGCAGCAATTCCAAAACATAAAATAAATTCATCATTCATGAAGTAAGTCCAATATCTAGCCTCCCTATATTGATAAACACAATCCTAACTATAGTTTACTGAAAAGCAGGTGGCCCATGTTAGAAAAGCCTGCTCAATTCATCAAATAGCTATAAACTAAAATGAACATGTAAATAAGTATTCAGGGAGCCAAATAATCATAATAATTTGAAATAAAATTTTATCTAAAAGAAAATTAATACCTATATCTTGTCATAAAAATTTCTCAAGGTCTGTTCCCTTTTATGTTAACTACATTATTTACAAAGGTACTCAACATATCAGTTGTTTTCTACATTGGTTAACAAATAAAACAAGATTTTTTACATTTTAGTTTATTATTTACCTTTATTGATAGGTCTTCTTTTCCCAAAGTGACTAATGTTTTAATTGATGGATAGTTTTTACATTTACTTTCATGTAGCTCCACTGTAGCTCGCATTGAATTCTGCAATTTGAAGCAAAACTTTTAACTTCTTAAAGATGCTTAATTCATGTTAGTAACAACACCAGAAATTTTTACAAATTCTGGTCATCTTTTAATTTAATACTATGAACTTCTCTATCATTTATATAAAATTTTAAAAAAAGACAGTAACCTGAATGTTTTCATTATAAAGCATTCAAGTGTATAAATGACACTTTCTAAACATTTTTTCTTGTCATGCAAAAGTATGTATTTGTTAGAGAAGAGCATATTTCTTTGTACAAAAATTACTGCAATTATAATAAAGCCTAATCTTATTAATGTAATTGTATTTTTAAATTGGAGCTCAAACTGTGTTGTGAGCAAAAAGCCAGCTTGCTTGGCAGATAGCTGTAGACATATAATCCATATGTTCATGAGAGATATCCTTTGTCATGTCCCTAGAAAGATACCCCACCACATTTTTCTATTTAAAGTATATAAAATATTGCTCTAAATTGCTCTACTTTTAAAACCAGGACAAAGTTTGCTGGACCAAAGCTGAGAAAAGAGAAAAATTATTTCCAAGAGCTTCAATTTAAAGTGTCAGATTTCATGGGGGGAAAAGAACTGTAAAAATTTGAAAAGGTACTTTCAGTATTAATTCTAAGGAAATAATTAACAAATCTCGTAAGGGATTTTCATTGAAATTTTGATATTTCTTTCTCTGTGCAAGCTCAGAAATTTTGTTTATGGATGTCTATTTATTTATTTATTTGACAAGATTTATAGATCACTTCAGTTAGAAACATTTAACATATAGCAGATACCTGGCTAAACCTACAGAGTATACCAAGTGAATTGTACTCATTGATCCTAGTCTCATCAGATGTTCTTCACAATAGCAATCCTTTTTTTATGCATGTTAGACCTCAGACCTGAAACCTGATTAAAATGGGCCCAGATAATCAGCTTTTCCAGATCTGAAGCCTCAATAATCTTCCTCCAAAAGAGGAGGTTGCATTGTGTATTACTGTCTAAGATGTCCAGATTAAGCAATGGTTTCTTGTGGGGAAGGTGCCCTTCAAGGAAGATGCTGTCCCTCTTCACTCACAACAGGATAAATTTACTACTGTTCTAATCCAGGCACTACTCATTTCCTGGGGTTTTCACCACCCAAAAGTGACAGAAATTCAGACTTCATGTGGCTGATGCTGCAGAAAAACGTATTCACTTCTTTTATGCCACATAATAAATCTGGTATAATTTGGCATATTTACTTCCTGTAATATGAAATATTTCTGTATCTAAAATTAGATATACAAAGTTATCTTTATTTTCAAATTTAATGTTGACATCATTTTTCTTTCTTGTTATTAGTTTATATTCCAGGGGTAGGCTGATACCTCTAACTACACCTTGATGTCATGTGAGCAGGAGATTATTCTATGGGAATTAATTTAGATTTGCCTTTTAATCATCAGAAAAGCAAAATAAGGTATGAGAGCCATATGCTTTTTATATACCAGGATTTAAAAAGTGAATGCCAAGATGGGGCACCCCCTGAAAATTAGGTGAGGCAGCAGGAATTACCAAATCACTATTCCAAACCAGAAAGTAGGGCCAAGATATGAAGACTCAAAAACTTCTTGGAGGTGAGGTTTGCAACCTTCATGCATCCATTCCATGGGCTATCTGATATTAACTATTTTCATGAAATAACAATAAATGAAACAGGAGATGTGATTTTCCAATTTCAGATAATGAAACATTTAGCATCTAAAAGTTTCCCCATGTTGTCAAAATCTGTTGCTGAAGTCAGACTTTTAATTAGCATGCACAATTTGCCATTAAAGACAATACTGAATTCAAAGGTATATGCAGCTATATTCAGGGTGGAGTGTGTTAACACTATTTCTGGCAAACTCAAAAATAAGCCAAATAATATCTATCCCCTTCCCCTGATGTTAGTTTACTCACCTTAAATAATTCGAAAAGCATATGAAACAAATGCGAGGGTACATAGACAACCTGAATGGGCCTGCCTGGTGCTTTAGCTAAAAAGCAAATAAAACTTTTAACTGAGAATTAAAGTTAAATTTAACACAAACAACTGTAAATTTTCTGATTTATATTATTTACTAGAAATGTACAACAGCTAAAAATTAAATTAGCTCTTTAAAGAAGGTTATAATACTAGAAAATATTCAAGGAAAGAGAAATGGACAACCTGCAGCAAGGGAATAGATTTAATTACAGCAGTAATGGCTGCACCATCATAGGAGCTGAAGGACCAAACTGAGGACATGATTCCCCTGGAGAAAATGTATGTGGCTGCTAAGTTGTTACCAACTGGATGACACATAAGTAATCAATCTATCAAATCAAATCCAAAAGAAAGAAATGGTGGAATGGAAACAAAAGTATTTTCTGCACCATAGAAAACTCTGACACAGTTCTCACCTAAAAATAAATTCAGCAATTAATTTTCATTTAAATAACAATTTCTTGCAATCCATACATTGACAGATACTTAATATTAAAAAGCAATCATATCTGTATCTGTACCATTGAATTCTTCAATTTCCAAATCAGGTGCTACTTGATAATACTGCTCACACAACATCTTGGCAGTTGCAAAGGCATCTGTTAGGGAAAAGTAACAATATATATCATGTGATTGTGAGTAGATAACAGTATATTATATACTGCAAAATTTAGAATCTGCAAGTTATTCTCCTCTTTAAACAAAACCTGTAAGATTCCAAGTAATGTGAGAGGTGTGTAACTGAATCTCCTAATATCTTTACTTTAAATCTACTAAGGGAGAAGCTAGTCATACATACGTACATGCATACGTACATACGTACGAACATGAGTGAATGAATGAATGGAATTCCTTTTTGATTCCAGTTTTTAATGCTGATTTTAAAACTGCATTTTTTTCTGCCTGTATAATAATAAAAACTATTTTAAAAAATCTGTGTCAGACAAGAAAGCAAAACTTTTGCCACGTTCAAAAAATTTAACATACAGTATTACTCACATTTACCTCTATTAAAGTCAATGGGAACAATTCTTTATTAGGCATATGTAAGATTGCACACCCCAATTTAAGAACCAAAAATGCACGTTAATAAAAGCTTCAAATTTCAAAGCTATTCCTGCACCTTTTATGAAAGCTACCTGTGTTTCTCTGAAAATATGACCCACTCCAAAAATAAACCCTAGTCTGATTTTTGGGGGTGGGCTTAATATAAACCCTACTCCAAAAATAAGCCTGGGGCAATGGGCGTGGCCAGCACAAGACGCAGAGAGCACACGGGATCGACAGTGTCTGGAAGCAGTGTCTGGAAGCAGTGTCTGCAGCCTGCTGGCCCCTTGGTGCAGCACAGAAGTCTGAGAGAGGAGGCAGAGGGAGGAGACAGGTGATCCGGGTGTGTTGTGCAGCTGCCTGACTCGCGGGAGGCTTTCACGGCAGCAGGAAGAGGCAAGTGGGGGGAGGCAGGCACCCTGTGTGGCAAGCCAAGACATGGTGGGATGTAATGGGTGGCTTGTTGGGATCGCCTGCCTCCCCTTCCCCATGCCTCTGCTTCCGCAGTGCACTTTTCACCCAGAGGGAAACTGGAAGCTTTGGCTGCTTGCAAATGGGGCACTTTGAAACAGAGCTAATCGTTCCGTTTCAAAGCACCCCATTTGCAGTCTCCCTCATTTCTCCATCCAGGTGAAAAGTATGTCTGCCCTGGGAAGCCCTGTTGGCCGCGGGGAAGCAGATGGTGGGAGGGATCGGTTGGCCGTAAAATAAGACATCTTCCATAAATAAGACCTAATGGGTCTTTTGGTGTTTATGTGTCTTATTTTCGGGGAAACACGGGTATCTTAAAAATTGTAGACAAAGGAATTATTGACATCTCACTCATAATGAAGATATACAATACAGCCCAAGGGAATAGTTATTTCAATAATCATGGATTTTCCAGTGCAGCTTCATAGTTGACAAACCTATTTGAACAAGGAAATGGTTATTTAAACCAATTAATTTATTTCCAATATTCAATGAATATAACAAGCACAAAAATGTAAATGATAGGTCTCTAGATCCTACCAATGTATTTTTTTTAATTTTAAAAACAAACTTTATTAAATTTAAAAACATTAAAAAAAGAGAAAATACAAATTTTCTCAATCATAAAATTACATAATCAATACACAACAACGCAAACAAACTAAATACATGTGATTATATATACACATATATACAGTGACTTATTTACCTATTCTATCTATCTGACGGTGCTTCTTTGTTACGTTAATTTCCCCTAATTTTTTGTCTTTACCCTTTTTTCCTTTGATTTATCCACTTGTACCATCTATTCCATACTATAAAATATTTTGAGTCTTCCTTGTCTTTTAATTCTAGAGTTAATTTATCCATTTCTGCACATGTATAAATTTTTTGAATTACTTCCTGATCTGTTGGCAAACGACCTGTTTTCCACAATTGTGCTAGTGCCAGTCTGGCCGCCATAATTATATGTAGTGTTAAATATTTTATGTCTTTTCTAATATTCCCTTTAATCATGCCTAATAAGAAAACTTCTGGTTCTAATTCAATTTCTTGGTCTATTATTTCTAGTATCCATGTTTTTATTTTTTTTCCAATATTTCTTTATTTCTGGGCAAAGCCACCAAGCATGGAAGAAAGTACCCTGGGCTTGTTTACATTTCCAACAAACAGGATTTACATTTGGGTACAATTTCGCTAGCCTCGAAGGAGCCAGATACCATCTGTACCACATCTTATAATGATTCTCCTTATATGCTACCGATATTGTCATACTGTAATTGTTTTCCCATAACCTTTTCCATTCTTCTAACTGTATGTTGTGCCCGATGTTCTTTGCCCATGCTATCATCTGTCCTTTAACCAGTTCTTCTGCCAAATCAAATTCTAGTAAGTATTTATAAATTTTTGAAATTAGTTTTCCTTCTTTGGATTCTAATAATTTGTCTAATCTGTTTGGTTTTGGATCTATTCCTCCCTCCTCTTGATCTTTTCTGTATCTTATTTTTATTTGTGAATAGGGCCACCAGTTTATTGATATTCCTTGTTCATTGAGTTCTTCCCTTGTTTTCAATACTCCTTGTGAATCTAATATTTCTCTGTATCTTAACAGTTTTTGTTTTACTAATATATTGGGGTGTGTTATTGCTTCTATCGTTGATAATCAGCCAGGAACTTTCATATAGTGTTTGCTTTTTATCTCTTGCCATATGTCAATTAATTATTTCCTAATAATATGGTTATTAAAATGTTTGTATATTTTATTTCTAGGGCTCCATAAAAAGGCATGCCATCCCTTCATTAAATCGTGACCTTCTAAATTTAATAATCTTTGATTTTCCAGGGTTACCCATTCTCTAATCCATGTTAAGCTAGAGGATTTATAATATTTTTCCCATGCCAGGAGTCCAAATCCGCCTCTGGTTTTGTCATCTTGTAATATACTTAATTTAATTCTTGATTTTTTTCCCCTCCCACACAAATTTTGTAGTTATTTTGTCCAAATTGCTAAAGAATTTCTTATCTAATTTTATTGGGATTGTTTGGAATAAATAAAGGAGTCTTGGCAGTATATTTGATTTTATCGCTGCGATTCTCCCCAACAATGACAATTTTAATTTCCCCCATTTTTCCAAATCTTCTTTTATTTTTTGGACCAAAGGTCCATAGTTATTCTCTTTTATCATTGTACTTCTGGCTGTCAAATTTATCCCTAGGTAATTCACTTTTTTGACTACCTGCAATCCTGAGTCTTTTGCTAATTTCTCTACATGTTTTGCTATTATATTTTTTGTTATCATTTTGGTCTTTTCCTTATTAATTTTTAGACCCGCTACATTTCCAAATTCCTCAATTTCATTCATTAATTTGGGTGTTATTTTTATTGGGTCTTCTATGAAGAAGACAAGGTTGTCCGCAAAGACTTGGACCTTGTATTCTTCTTTTTTTACCTTTAATTTTACTAAAGGATTAAAGACGCCTGGAGAGTAGTTGAAGGACCAACCGCTCTGAATCCGACCGAACACAGGTGAGGTCTCATATTAAGACCTACCTAGTGGCGATAAAAGCGGCGAAATCTAGCTATTTTGCCGCTCTTATAGCGTCATCAGATAATCGCCCAGCCGCCCTGTTTAGGGTGACCCGCTCCCTCCTCCATCTGGAAGCGCGGGATGATCCCTTGCAGGGTCGAGCTGAGGATTTTGTGCAGTATCTGTATGACTAAGATCGCTCAGATTCGGGAAGGCCTGGCCTCTGACTGGGTAAGTCCGGACGGGATAACTGAGGCAGGTCTTGAGAGTGTTATCTGGGAGGAGTTCGATCCTGTGGCTCCCGAGGACGTGGACAGGATCCTGGGATGGCTGAACGCGACATGTTTATTGGACCCGTGTCCCTCCTGGTTGGTACTGGCTTCCCGGGAGGTTACACGAGGCTGGCTCCAGAGGATTGTTAATGCTTCTTTGAGTGAAAGGGTCCTGCCGGCCGCTTTGAAATAAGCGGTGGTGAGGCCCCTCCTCAAGAAGCCCTCTCTGGATCCGGCTGTATTGGCTAACTATCGTCCAGTCTCCAACCTTCGCTTTGTTGCGAAGTTGTTGAGAGTGTGGTGGCGCGGCAGCTTCCCCGGTACCTGGATGAAGCTGTCTATCTAGACCCGCTCCAGTCCGGCTTCAGGCCTGGGCACAGCACGGAAACAGCATTGGTCGCGTTGGTGGATGATCTCTGGAGGGCTCGGGATAGGGGTTGCTCCTCTATCCTGGTCCTGTTAGATCTCTCAGCGGCTTTTGATACCATCGACCATGGTATCATGTTGCACCGGTTGAAGGGGCTGGGGGTGGGGGGCACCATTCTGCGGTGGTTCTCCTCCTACCTCTCTGACCGGTCGCAATCTGCGTTGACAGGGGGGCAGCAGTCGACCCCGAGGTGCCTTGCGTGTGGGGTGCCACAAGGGTCGGTCCTCTCACCCCTTCTGTTCAACATTTATGTGAAGCCGCTGGGTGAGATCATCCGTGGCTTTGGGGTGGAGTTCCATCAGTACGCTGACGATACTCAGCTGTACATCTCCACCCCAGGCCACCCCAACGATGCCCTTGAAGTGATGTCCCAGTGCCTGGAGGCCGTGCGGGCCTGGATGGGGAGAAACAGGCTCCGACTCAACCCTTCCAAGACCGAGTGGCTGTGGCTTCCGGCGTCCCGATATAGTCAGTTGGTGCCATCGCTGGCTATTGGGGGCGAATCACTGGCCCCCACGGAGAGGGCTCGCAACTTAGGCGTCCTCCTGGATGCACGGCTGTCTTTAGAAGAGCACGTGGCCAGGGGGGCTTTTTATCAGGTTCGCCTGATACGCCAGTTGCGCCCCTTTCTGGATCGGGACTCCCTACGCACGGTCACTCAAGCACTCGTCACTTCCCGCCTGGACTACTGCAATGCTCTCTGCATGGGGCTCCCCGTGGGGTGCACCCGGAGGCTAGAGTTAGTCCAGAATGCGGCCGCGTGGGGGATTATGGGAGCGACGGGGCGCTCACATATGACACCTCTCTTGTGCGAGCTGCACTGGCTTCCTGTGGTCTTCCGGGTGCGCTTCAAGGTGTTGGTGACCATCTTTAAAGCGCTCCATGGCTTAGGGCCGGGGTATCTGCGAGACCGCCTTCTGCCACAAATAGCCTCCCACCGACCGGTTCGCTCGCAGAGAGGGCCTCCTCAGGGTGCTGTCGGCCAGACAGTGTCGGCTGGCGACCCCCAGGGGGAGAGCCTTCTCTGTGGCAGCACCCGCCCTCTGGAATGACCTACCCCCTGAGATACGCATGATAACAGACCTCCAGACTTTTCGTCGGGCCCTGAAAACACACCAATTCCATCTAGCCGGGCTGGCTTGATCCCATCCTCTCAGTTTTAATTGAATTCGGTTTTAATTGGGTTGTTTTTAATATCTTGGGCCGAAATTATTTGTTTTTTAAATTGTTTTTAAATTTTATATGCAATGTTTTATCTTGGCTGTACACCGCCCTGAGTCCCGCAGGAGAAGGGCGGTATAGAAATAAAATAAAATAAAATAATAAAATAAAATAAAATAAAATAAAATAAAATAAAATAAAATAAAATAAAATAAAATAAAATAAAATAAAATAAAATAATACAATACAATACAATACAATACAATACAATAAAATACAATAAAATAAAATAAAATAAAATAAAATAAAATAAAATAAAATAAATAAATTTGACCTAATTCTAATTAGCAAGTTTTCCAGAGTCATAATAAAAAGTAAGGGCGACAATGGGCAGCCCTGCCTTACTCCTTTATTTATTCTAAAGAATTTTGTTGGGTCTCCATTTACTAATATGCTTGCCTTTTGATTCTTATATATTGATATCATTCTTGTAAATTTTCCTCCGAATTTCATATTTTTAATTTGATGTATCATAAACTGCCAATTAACTTGGTCGAATGCTTTTTGTGCATCCAGAAATATCATTGCTACCTGTCTTTCTGGATGCATCTCATAGTATTCTAAAACATTTATTACCATTCTTATATTATTTTTTATTTGTCTTGTGGGCAAGAAACCATTCTGAAACCGTATTCTATTATTTAGTATTGTTTTCATCCTATTTGCAATTATGCTCATGAAAATTTTATAATCGGTATTTAATAAGGAGATCGGTCTATAATTTTTTATTAATGTTGTATCTGCTCCTTCTTTTGGTATCACGGAAATATATGTTTCCCTCCATGTATTTGGTAACTTTGCCTCCGTCAATGCCTCATTGTATGTTTCTAATAATATCCCATTTAGTGAGTCCCCTAAACTTTTATAAACCTACCAATATATTTCATTGAGGCATTTTTAAAAAATGAACCCGGAAGTGTCGCGGTGAGACTGGTTGGGAAAACACCAGGCTCTAATGAGCCTGGCGAAAACTCAGCCAGACGAACCGCTGTTGGGGGGTCTTTGGACCAGAACTGTCCTGTAGGGACAGTGAAGAAGGAGAGGCATCTCTGTTGGCTAAAGAGGAACAGGCAAGTTCCTTGAAAAGCCAGAGAAAATTCTTCAATCCAACTGCGGAGGCAGCGGACATTGCGAACCGCCATGAAGCTGGGGCATCCGGAATAAGAATTGTGCAGGAGCGAAGATTTGAGTGGAGATTTGAGTGACTGGCCAACTCACAGGTAATAAAGGAAAAAAATTGGAAAATTTTAGAGTTACCCTGGCATGGAAATAGCGGCTAAATAGCGTTGGGGGAAGATAATTGATAGAGAAGTCAGAAAGCAGAAGCGAAAGCACTAAAGCCCAAAATGGAATTGGATACTTAAATTTTAAATGGGGATATAGAATTTGGAGAGACTAAATTGACTATAAGAAAAGAAACCCAAAAGAAAATATCTTTGGAACAGGATAGGATATAAACTGTTTAGAAAATTTTGAACTTTAAAAGAAGATTAAAGAATGAAGAAAAGCCTGTAATAGAAAAGCCTGGCTAAAGATTTTAAATTGAACTTGAACTGGAGTGTAAAATTGGAATTTGGACTTTGTAAATTCGGATTGGACTATAAACTGATTTGGTGCATATAAAGGTAAAAAAGAAGAAGAAAACTTTAAACTAGTAAAGATGTTAAAGTGGATTGCAAACAAAATGGATACTTTTTAAGTTACTGATTGGAATTGTGGATTGTAGAGAGACATCTTCAGGAGAAACAATATAATTACAACACCAAATTTTTTCTCTGGAAAAAACTCTGAACTTTGAAAGGAATAACAACAGTGAGGGAACCTTGAACTTTGAAAGCGATAACAGCTGGACTAAGGAGGGTTTGTTTGTCTGCAAGTGGCTTGACTTTGATGATTAAAAAAGGAGGATTACAATGCAACTTTAAATTGGAATAATATTAACTCAGAAAGAACAAAATGGTGCAGGAACTTAAGGAAATGATGAAAATGATGTACTTATCACTGAAAAGGGAAATAAGGGAAATAACTACGATGTTACATGGAAAACAGAAATCTGATGATTCAAAAACTGAGTCAGAGCACATTCAAGTTGACAAGGAAATAACCAATGAGAAGCAAGAAAGAGAGACTGACAATAAAGAAGAAGGCAAAGACCAAGAGATTGACTATGGAAAATCAAATGACTATGTGGGTAGGAATAATAAAAAGGAGAACTTTAAAGATTACATTGGGATTAACAATGGAAAAATAGAAAAGGGGGAAAGAGACAAAGAAGGAAAAGAGCGGGGAATGGAAAGAATATAAAAAATTTAAATGATTACACTGGGATTAACAGTGGGAATACAAGAAAGAAGGAAAAGGGATGGGAAACAATGGGAAATATAGGGCAAAATAGAACAATTTATGATTTTAAAATACAAAATGATTACATTGGGATTAACAATGGAAAGATAAAAGGGAAAAGAGATGGGAAATAATGGGAAATATAGGACAAAATATGAATTGAAGTAAAATTTATAGATGAAGTGAATGTTAGAAAAAAGATGAAATTGTGATACTAATTAAGTAATTTAAAATAATGGAAAATTATATGGATGTACGAATTAAATGAAAGAAGATTTAGAAATACGTTTTACTTAAAATTAGAGAAATGGTAATGATTGGAATATTTTTGATTGTATTGTTGGAGCTTATAAATATTTTTAATTGCATATTTGAATTAATTAGATTGTGGTGAAAATAGAAATGATTAAGATGTGGTTTGAAGAGTAAATATATACTTTTGACAAAGTATTTGAAAATTAGAGATAAGATTTAAGGAAGCAGCTTGGTTTATTATTATTATATAAAGAGAAAAACTGTTATACAATTAACTAATTTTTATTAAGATGTTGGAGTGCATTATTTGGAATAAGATATAAGGAATATATGGTATAAAATGTTTTGATTTATTATTTTGATATGAAATGAATGATTGTAATATTAGGAACTATGTTAAAGGAGATTTCAAATTTAAGGGGTTTACTATAGAGAGAAAGGGAAAATGGGATTTGGTTAAATTAGAGATAGGATGAATGGGTAATATTGATTTGAAAAAAAAAAAGAAAAGAAAGGGGGGGAAAAAGGAAAAATAGAGAGAATAAATACTATGGCAAAAAGGGAATATATAAATTGTGTTGAAATGACTAAAAATTGTTTAAATTTGTGAACCGGCCAATACTCTGTTCAGAAAAAATATACTGTATGTGTGTCTGTCTATGTGTTTAAAAAAATAAAAAAAACTTTAAAAAAAATGAAATATTTTTATGAGTACTTTTACTACTATATTTTCCTAAGAAGAATATACACTTGATTATATTAAGTATGCTGCACCTCCATCTAGTGACAAAAAAGTCATCTGAATCAATTTTTTGCATAATCAAGCTAAGCAGTGTTTTTTATTTATTTAAACTGAGGAAGCTATTGCTTCTTCTCCAATATACTGGGAACACAAATAAATGCCATCATAAATAAAATACAACTTGCAATTATTTTATATAATAGAAATGAGTGTAATGCAAAGGGTAATGTGGTATTAGCTGTGGTGGCGCAGTGGTTAGAATGCAGTACTGCAGGCTAATTCTGCTGATTGCCAGGGGTTTGATCCTGACCATCTCAAAGTTGACCCAGCCTTCCATCATTCCAAGATCGATAAAATGAGGACCCAGATTGTTGGAGGCAATATACTGACTCTGTAAAACCGCTTAGAGAGGGCTGTAAAGCACTATGAAGTGGTATATAAGTCTTAGTGCTATTGCTATGTGAAATAAACACATTAAGGATTACAAAGAATTCTGAAGACAGAAAATTAGGAATAATATAATCTCATCAATTATGAGATATTAATGGAAAAAAGGTGGTGGATCAAATCCAAAGTGATGATTAATTACAAACAGGGCAAATATGTATAACTCACTGGAAAAGATAGCAAAGTTAAAGGCAGACATGATATTGCTTCTGAAGCTACTTTATTTGTGTCTTGGTTTAATCATTCAAATTTAGTCTGAAGTGGGTATGGAAATTTTGGGCTGAAAGAAAATGACTGCTTTTAAACTATGGTTAGCAGTAATGCAAGATCAAGCTATTAAACTACAGAAAAAAACAAATTTGTTTTGATGAAAACTAATATAGCTACTGACTTTATGATCAGAAACAGATGCAATCAACATTTGAAATGCAAAGCAAAATTATTTTTACTTTTACCTTCTACTACATCAGCCACATTACAAGTAGGATCAATGCTCCCAATATGTTTTGGATGAGCAGGATTGGTGACTCCACCAAAAAGCAGTGCTATGAAGATAAAACACAGAATTGAAATACTATTATTTTTTAAAGAATAAAAAATTATCAGTTTCTATTCCACGCAAAGGAAAAACAAACCTTGTTAAAAATCCATCATGAAGTAAATATTACTATTAATAAAGTATTAATATTAAAAAAAATGTGTTTCCAATGATTACGAAGATTGCGAAGTACAGACAAAACATACACTGGTAACTACTATGCTTAACACCCGTTCTAAGCCATGGGCTCTCCTCACTTTGTCAGCTATACCAGTGGAGAAATTACTGGTGTTTTTTATCAGGTCTACCCAAATATGGGACAGCGAATACTGCTTCCGCTTTTGCCTTTCAGCCCCAATCCAGGAGCCTTCGCAGGCAGTCGCTTTCATGGCGAACTATTTTTGTGTTAAATTTATATTTACTGACAAAGAAATAAAGGGAGACTAGTATAGATTTATTTCAAGCTATTTAGCTCTCGTCAGTTAGCCATACCTTTCTGGGATTCAAACCCGGCCTACTTACATATTAGGTAGATGTATTAACCTCTAAGCTGGTCAGCTATATCAGGGGAGAGATTGAAATAGATCTATACCAATATAAATTTAACACAGAAATAGTTTGTCACGAAAATGACCCTAACCCTAACCCGGTGTTTTATTTTCTGTGGGAAATGGGTCCAAATGGCTTTTTGAGTGTTTAAGGTTGCAAACTCCTGGTTTAGAGGTTAATATATCTACCCAATATGTAAGTAGCCCGGGTTCAAATCCCAGAAGGGTATGGCTAGCTGATGAAAGCTAAATAGCTTGAAATAGATCTATACTAGTCTCCCTTTATTTCTTTTTCGGTAAATATACATTTGACTACCATGCTTCTTTCTTCAGTAGTACTACTTAGACTTTTAATTCCTGCATACAACGTACTACAATACAGATTAGCCTAATTGCAGGTTGTATTGAGTAGATCCCCTTTACTCAATCTTTTAAACATGTCATGAACAATCATGCCATGATCCTAATGCTCCTCAAAAACATTCACAATCTCTTGGTTTTGAGATTTAGCATAAGGAAAGACTTAGAGAAAGCTTCTGTGGATCTTGTTTCTTAGTAGACCTGTACAGAATTGCTCTGTAATCTATACAGTGCCCAAGACAGCTTGATAAATTTTGATAAGATTGGCTTTATGCAAACTTAACGACAAATTCTGAAATCATTATTTTATGTCAAGCAGCACAAGTCTCACATGGCTTTGCCAATGCTGTATTTTATTAAATACACTTTAACCCTTATATTTCTGTTTTTAAAATAAAATGGTCTTACAGAACATCTTAATAAGCAGCCTTCAGATCAAACCTACTTAAAACTGGTATAGTTATGACCTACTTAATTTCCACTTGGGAGAGTAAGACAACCTACAATTATCTGAGTACATACATACATACCGATCATGCTATTCCCTTTGGGGGGTAAGCAAGAGTACAGAAAAAAAAGTAAGAAATAGTAAGACAAAGAAATTAAAGCATGAGAAAAGGAAACAGCTTTCCCCTCAATTATATACAGCATCACACACTGCCTTTTTGTTAAAAAAAAATTTTCGCTCCACACTACTATCGCCACATGAATCTTTCATAGAGGCAATAAAATTATGTCCTCTAGCTAACATTCACTCCAAATCATTCATAAACATAAACATATACATAAACATGGGGATACCACCAATCCTTGCCTTATTTTCTGCAGAATGTTGACCATTCCATTTATTTTTATGTGTTTTATTCCATTATTACTCTTATTGCATTCAGCAACCAAATTTCAAGTTCATATTTATTCCAGAAATCAAAAATAATTTATCAAATGCTTTCTCTAAGTAAACAAACATACGGCAAACTATATACTTATGTACTATAAACTGGCAGAAAATATTATTATAATTTGCCAAAAACAAAACTTGATCTGTATGGTCCCTGTCCAGAATAATGCTACACTTCACATATATATCTCTGCATCACCTCTTAAACCTTTTCAATCAAAATATTGCAAAAACCTTACTAATTATTTTGTAGATTTTGCATGCTGCCCGTTTTCCACGATCAGCAAGGGATCCCTCCTTTCTTCGTCATCCATCCAGGGTGACTGATAATTGTACTGTTATCCACCACTGTTTCTTCGACATTATTTTAATTTTTGTAATTCGTATTTTATTTTGTCCCTTCTTTAGCATTCTTTCTTTAATATTTCTATCCCATAATTTCTTCAATATTATCTTTCTTTATTCCCTCTTCTATTTTAACACCATGCCTTCCTGTCCTTGGCTCAGGTAGGGCAGTTTTGGAAAGTTGGGTTGGAAATCTAAATGTATTCACTTAAAGCCATTTATTACTGCTAACCACTACTAACTACTGCTCGTGATGATAATTCTATTAAGATTGATTAAGTTGTCTATTGAAAAATGTCAACTCAAGTGGGCTCAGTATCATTAAATTCAGTGGCATTTATTTCAGAATGTGCATGCATGAATTCACATTGCCCTATTCAAATATTTCCTGATCCATACTTGGAACTGCAGAGAGGGCAGCTTTATTTATTTATGCTATTAAGGATAAATTATTTATTCATTTAGTCAACCTATGATGGATAGGACACATATGTACACACACACAAAGAATGCTCAGAAATGTTAATTCAGAATATACAAATCCAAACATACATGTGTGTTCTTTAGAAATTCAAACAATTAACACATTCAATATCTATATCCAAAATTAAATTTCTACAAATGAGAATCAATGCTTAGAAAAAGAATTATTAATAAAATGAATAACATATCCAATGCTGATAGAAGAGAATATCTGTAGCTCAGGCTTGAATGCATCCCAATATTACCATTTTTTTCATTTAAAAAAAAAATTCAGCCAAAGCAATCTCCCACATTCTAAAATATCAATTAAAGATTTAAATTTGGCTTCTTGAACCAAGAAGAGTTAAGGTAGCAGCTAACAGTAAAAAACTAAATTAGTTTTTTATGATGCATCGTAAGTGCATCATAAGTGCATAAAAATGCACTAGTTAAAACACAAAAAGGAGCAAGTATTTAAAAGAATAGAGATTACATATCTAAACATGATAACAGTTAGTGAAGATTCAAGAACTGATCCAAAGGCTTTGAAAACAGTGATTCAGAAGACATCTGGAATGACATTTCATCATTGGCTACCTGTCATGGTTAACTCCACATACAGATTCACTTGCAACCAGACAACTGTAATGGGAGGAGAGAGGGAAGGCATTGGAAAGTAAGGAATGTTTAGGAGGGAAATGAGAAATGGAAGTAAGCCGGCTGAAAGCCTGAGACTGACCTAACACTATAAGGTCATTCGGCTGGGACAGTCTGAGGCAGTCAGATCATTCCCAAATCAAAGTGAATGCAAATAGTAGACAGTGGGAGGTCCAGGAAACAAAAGAAAAGTTTACCTATGCTATTTTCCAGGGGAAATATTAGAACTAGTTTTTCTACTTCTGTAACTACATGAAATCTTCAGTAAAGTTATACTCTTGGTAAAAAAAATGTCCCAGGAGTTTTGCTGTCTAACCTGGTGGGTGGTTGACATTAAGCCAGATCTCATAGAAATAGCCTACCTGGATCCCACCAGGAGGTCAGCCCCAAGATGTTGGCTATGAGCAAAGACTCAGAAGAGAAGAAGAAGCTGGGAGAGGCCCCGGCTGAGGAAGGGCCAGCACCACTTCAGGCCGGAACAGGAGCGTACCCAGACAGCATGTGTCTGAAACCAAAGACTGAGAAGTCTGAGCAGCTAGCCACGGTGTCAGCCTCCGCTCTTTCATTGCTTATTGCTCAGCTGCCATGAAACGGGAGGGGGGGGAGCTATTGGGATTCTTGAGGGGGGGGAAGAGAGCTGGAGAAGAAGAAGGGGGAAACCTTGCTTCAGCATCTTCTTTGAAGTTGATAAGGGCTCAAGGTCAACGGTCGTGGCATAGCAGGAGGATGGCACCACAAGACGTGGCACCCACATGACCCCTGGGGAAATTGTGGATTGGATGATGGACGCTGGACAGATGGGGAGGGGATGCTTTCTATATGTAATTTTCGCGCCTTTGCTTCAGACCTTGCTTTTCTATGACTGCATTCAGTTCATACTCAGTAAAAGATACCTTTCTCTATGAAAATGAGTTGGGGTTTTTCTTTCTTGGGTAATGAAAGGAGGCTGTCCTGACATTAAGCAAGGTCTGTTTTTAACAGCCATCCCGGCAAAACTACCGTGGGGGCTGAACAAGCAATGTCTGATCAAGACAGCGACCTGGACCAGATGGGAGCTGCCGGCTCAGCAGCTTTGTCATCCCAACTGGGCGGAGAAGCAGTGGACTGGATGGCTAATTTACGGCTGGAAGAAGATTCGGAGAGAGCCAGATGGTCGATGGGGGTGGGAAGGCTGCCGGAGTTGGAGAAAACCCCCCACGGCGTAACAAGCACTAGTGGGAGAATCTGCCTGGATGCAGGAGCAGAAAGAAAATTTCCTGGTTATTCAGGCCCTGCAACTTTTGAGGGAAGCAGAAGAGAGCCATAAAAGCCAGGAAAGGTATGCATACTCTGCTGAGAGGGGGGGTGAACATCCCAGGTATGAAACGGAGGCAGCTGCTTGTGGGAGAGAGAGAGAGCAAGCTGGGGAAGGAACAGCTCAAGCTTCCAGAACTCAAGCAGTTGCTGCAGCAGCCCAGGGGCCCCTGGCAGGGCAGGCACCGCCCCAGAGGCGAAGAAAGCCAAAAATTCCGATATCAGAAAAATTTGGAAGAGACCGAAGAAATTGGGCTTTTTCCTGATCCAAGTCTGGAACCATATGCAGGACTGGGGAGAGGATTTCCTCTCAGAGGCCGCTCGCGTGAAGTGCATTACCAACGCCCTAGAGGGAGTAGCAGCTGGATGGTGGGACTCCACAACGAAAACTCCCCCTTGCTGAGAAATTATGATCAATTTATGACAGCCCTCAGAACACGGTTTGAGGACCCATTAGCTGAGCGAAGAGCGAGAATCAGGATGAAGGGCATTCACCAGGGGCGGAGGTCGGTGGCGGAGTACACTCAAGAGTTCCGCGAGAGGGTGGTCAGAAGTGGCTCTGCTAGAGAATTATAAAGATGGGCCTAATGAGGACGTCTACAAAGATTGCCATTCGCGGAGGTCTCCTGATGACCTGCAGAGCTGGTACGTGCTGGCAACGGACGTGGAGATCGACCTGGCCCGAAGCCATCTCCGGGGGAGCGCACATGGGATCAACCCCCCTCCTCGATCCACAAGGGGGCGCCTAAGGCTGCAGCAAGCAAAGCAGGGCCCAAGCCAAGATCCTCCGTGTGTTTCAAATGTGGAAAGGAGGAGCACTGAGCTGCTGAGTGTTTCTCCAAGCCAGAGTCCAAGGCCACCACTACCGGAGGAAAGAGATCAGATAAACCACCTGCAAAAGCCCACGAAACCGCCCTGAAGAGAGAAGTCGTTGAGTTCACCTCCTTGAAACAGGGTGAGTTGGGAACTCCGACCATCGCAGACAACAGTGAAACTGAAACCGATTCCGACTGCTTGGTAAGTCAGAAGGGGGGGGGCCTGACCATCCCAGTAGAACTAAAGGTACCCGTCACAGGGGCCCACGGCCAGATGTCAGCCCTCCTAGGTTCAGGATGCATCAGATGTGTCATCAGCCTGGACATGGTAGAACAGATGGGCCTAAGACTGAAAGCCATTAAGAGGTCCATCGCATTCTGTCAGCTAGACAGATCAGTGGTTGGAGGGGGCCCAGCCCATTTTGTAACCGAACTAATCGAGATGAAAATGGGGGTTCACCTAGAGACTCTTAGCTTTATCATGGCCCCGGGTATGGAATGGGCCCTCCTACTTGGGCTACCTTGGCTCTGTAAATGGAACCCCCGCATAAACTGGAAAACGGGAGTTTTGCGCATCCGCTCGAAACACCCAGGGAAAGAAGGGGAGGAATCCCTTTTTGTGGGTGGAGTGGAAAGTGCGGCAACGGCAACAGACCACATTGTGGGGGAGGAAAAGATCCCAAAAGAGTACTGGGACCTTTGGGAGGTGTTCAGCGAGAAGGTGTCAGATGTGCTGCCCCCCCACCGGCCAACTGACTGTGCCATTAAAATCCTCCCGGGGGTAAAACTCCCTAAGACAAAAATCTACCCCATGACCCCCCGGGAGCTGGGGGAACTATGGGACTTTATTGATAAGAACTTAAAGCGCGGTTTTATCCAACCGGCTAGACCATGGGTGGCAGCACCGGTACTTTTCCGGAAGAAGGATGGGTCCTTTCGCTTGGTGGTTGACTACAAAAACCTTAACGCCATTTGCATAGAAAATGTCTATCCCTTGCCGCTCATGAAGGACATGTTAGCCCATATAGGCAAGGGGAAATTTTTTTTACAAAAATGGATTTACGGGACGCCTATT